AGATCAGTAACATACATTTGAACTTCACAGGGGTATTTTTTTTTTTACTGCTTAACTCTTTATTACCATGCTCCACGACTGTCGAAGTGAATTCCACTTTCAAAGTAAGGCGAGAACATCCAGGACATATGTGAGCCTCATGAGAGGAATTCCCTAGTCTGGTACCGAAGTGTTTTTTGCCACAGAGTAATATAACAACCAGAACAAACCAGATGTTTGCAAACTTCATGGTCATAGAAGAAATTGGTTTCATTCCAAAAATTCCATATATTCAAATCACAATTTTTTTCTTCATAAACTAGTTCATTTTTGTTTCAGTAAACGTTGCTTTCACTGTGCTGATCAACTGGATATTCTTAAAGCTGTGTCCAAAATAAGTAGAGATTTCATTGTCTTTTGAGGTAAAGCCTTGTAAACAGGCTCATTTCTTTCTACGCTTCTTCTCCATTTTGTATTAAAGGATTCGGTCACTCAGGATGTGGTAGCTGAGTCCTGTACTCCATTTCTGATGGCAAAGTTAACTCCCTAGAATTAGCAAAGCTGACTGCAAGCCAACCTGTAAGGCAGGGCAATATAGAAAATAATTAGATTCACACTCATGCAAATGTTTAGCCTGAAAAATCAGAAAAGACAGACACCTTTGGCAGTTAGAAATAATATGGAAAAAGTTCATATGTTTCATTTAGTAATCTTTCACAAACGCTCAATCTCTCCCTTGCGTGCCCAGTGCAGGTGTGGAACACTCAGGCATTAACCTGACAATAGAACAGGCAACAGTGACAACCAAACTCTACCACCCTTTGTGTAAGGGGAGCGAAGAGAACAAAACGACATGCCAGGCCCACAGCAAGGAAAAAGTACGGTGCAAAATAAAATATTAATATGATAAAAGGTGTCCACAGACACTTAAAAAGGCATGGTGGCTTTTTTCTAGTCAGAAATGTGGCAAATATAAATTCTGCTATGGTACATCATTTTACACAAGGAGAATCAAATTCAAACTCTGTGCCAAGGGCTGGTAAGGACAAGAAATACCACAGAAAGCAAACTTTCAGTCCCTGTGCTTCTAAGAGAAAATCAGCATGAAAAAAGTTTTCCAAATTTTCTTGAGGTGGAATGCAGGTTACTACAACGTGGGCACCTGAGAAAATAAGGGCTGGGATTACAGATGTAATAACGTGAAGTTAAAGGAAAGCGTTAGAAGTGTGTTTCACGTGGAGGGGGAAGCTTCTTCCCTTTACGTCCCAAGGTGCAAGAAGCATTTGAGAAAAATTGCAATGCTAGCATTTCTTTAAAATCCAAACATTTAACCAGCAACTGATAGATAAAAAGCCAGTAAGAAACGAGCAAAGAGAAACATTTTCACCTGGTCTGTCACACCATGTGAAGAAGCAGAGCAGAACCAGTGACCAGTATTGAAAAGTAGGAGCCTTATTGGGGGATTCACTCTATTTAGGAGAACGATGGGCTGACCTCACAGCACAACAACATGCACAGGACAGCTGTCACTTCATTTTTATTTAACTTTATTTAGCATTCTCAAGTATTTCCTTATAACAGGGATAAAATTCCCCTCTATTTCTAGCTAACTGACACCACCATGGCAGACTGAGAACTGCTTGTGATTACAAAGTTTTCTCTTCATCCCTAAACTAGACACAGCTACAGTACATCGACTGCTGATCTTGGCTGAGCTCTGCCCACCTTATCACTTTGTTGGCTTATAACCCCTATAGCAATAAAATAAAAAAAACAACTACACAAATTAGCAAAATAAATACCCTTAAGGCTGATAACAGATTGTACGTAAGCACGATGCTGAAATATGACGGAAACTGAGAGCAAAGGAACAGCAGGCTCACAACTTTATTCTGTTTAGTACCCTTACCGTGTGGAGCCGGACAGGAACCTAAACTTGCCAACTTATCCATCCCCTAGAACAGCTACGCTTGGAGTTACTCCCTGTTTTTTCTGAAGTGAAGGTACCCCAGACCCAGCGACGGGAACTCCGCAGAGATCGCCGGCTGAGAAAGCATCGGCGCGGAGGCTGCGGGCGGCCCCCCTCCGCGCCACCGGGCAGCGGAGCAGCCATCCCCCTCCGGGGCTCTGCCCGTGCCAGGAAGGGGCCGCTGCTCCCGCCCACCGCGCCCCCGCCAGCGACGGGGTAACTCATCGGTGCTGTGCCCGCTGCCGCGGGTCCTCAGCGCCGCGCCGGCCAGAGCAGCCGGGCGCCGTGCGAGGCCGCGCTGGCGCTCCCAACCCGCCCCCCGGCCGGGGGCGGCAGGCGGGCCGGGGGGGGGGGGGGGCCCCCCCC